GGCTTGGGCTTAGGGTTTAGGGTTTCGGGTCCTGCGCTATCAGGGGTTTTCTACGGGGTCCCTGAAGGGCTTCCTGGGGTTTGTACTTGGAGGTTCATGGGTAGTTATAAATGGGGTTATAAGTAGGGTAACTGTAGGTATAACCCATATTAGGGCACTCATAACCCCATTTACAACTACCCATGAACCTCCAAGTTGACTACCAAGGATGATAATCAGTATCATGAGTATAATCATGATCGGTATCTAGATTTAATCATATGCTGGTGGTCCCTTGGCTATATACTGGGTTCCTGAGTAGTACACTTTTGCCTTCTTCTTCCCGGGCTCCCTTCTTACAACCGAACAGCAGGAAAAGGGTACCCTTATTGTTAAGGGGCTTCTGGGAGCCTGGATTAAGAAGGATAATACATATAGTCATACTCGGTAACATAATAACCATGACCTGTATCACAAATGTAACCAGAATCAATACCGTACATATTTTCTCTACTACTCTTGTTTCTGGCACAACCCATGGATACCCTCTCAAACACAGGTAGGTATCCACTATTACGTGGAGGTTCTTGGGTAGGTAGAAGTGGGATTAGAAGTCCCCTAATATGGGTTGTATTTGTTGTTACCCAACTTCTTATACCCCGCTTATTACTACCCAGGAGCCTCCAAGCATACTCAATTACCTGGGTTTCAATACTATCTCTTCTAGTGCGTTACTGCCCCTATACTACATAATCGTGCGAGTCTTCAAAGCACTGGTCAACTTGTCAACTTCATTTACTAAACCCTGATCCCTAAACCCTAAACCCTAATCCCTAAACCCTAAACCCAAAGCCCTAAACCCAAAACCCTAATCCCCAAACCCTAAACCCTAAGCTTGGCGGGCTTTGTTGCCAAAGTGGCTGCTTCCCGGCGGGTTCGGGAGCGGAGTGTGCAGTTTAAGGTTAGTATAGGGGTGAGAGCAAGTCATTTTGGGGCCTTAATAATTAGAATAGGGTTTTAGGGTCCTTCAAAGTACAAGTACAATAAGGAGCCTCCAAAAAATACAGGTAATTATTAAGGCACCCTATAATACCCATATTCTTGCATAGGCTTCCTTGTTATAACGTATGCTTTAATGTAGCCCCGAGCCTTGTTCTATTTATCGAGGCCCTAATATTGTGACGTGTGCTGTGTGGCATGGTGTTGCATGAGAAGTTCATGCTTCGGGCCTTCTGATTCGCTGCTCACAAGCTTCGCTAGTTTTGGGGTGGGCTAACAACTCTGACAACTTAATATAAGGGCCTAAATAAGTACAAATATTATTCTTAGGGTGGAATATTGTAAAAAGGAACCCAAAACCCTATTCTAATTATTCAGGCCCCTACATTTAAACCCTAAACCCTAAACCCTAAGCCCTTTCCCGTATCGTGGCCTTCGTGCGCCCCAACCGGCCCGACAGTCGGATCTTTTTGTTTGGTTTGCTCTCTATGCACTCACTTAATGTAGGGGCATTAAGAATTAGAATAGGGTTTTGGGGTTCCTTAGTATAATTATTGTATTATGGGCCCCACGCCCTATTCAAATTATTATGGCCCGTACATGACTTAAAGGTTGTAAATAAGGTGTCTATACTGGAAATTAAGTAGAAGCCCAGTTGAGGAACACTTACAAGGGTACAAACTAAGTCCCATGAGCCTCCAAGCGGGGATGTGGTTTTCTGCGATTGCTGGCGCTCCTGAGATTGTTGAGGCAAGCCAGAGATGGGGCTTTCAGACGACAAGCTCGCCCAAGCGAGCACCGTACTTGCTGGATTGCGCTGTGTGATCTGCCATGAGGTCTTTGTCGATCCCGTGTGCGGACTGGAATGCCAGCATGTCTTCTGCTCCTCGTGCATTGGCCGGGCTGTGACCTTGCAGTCGCAATGCCCACTGTGCAGGGTACCCCTTGATCCAACACAGCTTCGACCGAGCCAGCCTATCCAGGCGCTGGTTGACGATCTGGAGGTGAGGTGTGACTACAGAACGTCAGGTTGTGGTTGGACAGGCCGGTTGCAAGATTGTGCTGCTCACCAGGCAGCATGCCCAGTTAAGTTGACTATTGACCTTGCTGACGAGCTGGACAAAAAAGCCAAGAAGTTGACCGAGCTGGACGAGAAAGCCAAGAAGTTCCACGAACACATTAAGATTGCGCACGAATATGCCAATAGTTTCCGACTAGAGACCAAGAAGCTGGCGGAAGAATTGAAAGAGTCTACTGCGCGGGAGGAAATGCTTGCCAAAGAGAAGGAGGAATTGAAAGACCAGGTCACAAGCCTGCAAAAGCATGCCGCGAGCTTGGAACAGAGGCTGGAGGAAGCTACCAAGGTGTTGTTGGAAAGAATGTCTCGGTGGAGTGCGACGCAGGTCCAAGTGTTCGTCCGAGACCCGAAACAAACTAAGATGCACGTGATGAACGTCAACATAGACGAAGACACGGCCGTGCTGAAGTGGTACATTTCAAGACAGACAGGCTGGAGATCGGCATCTTTCTACCTTTCTTGCATGGGGAGGATCATGCAGCCAGGCATGACAGGTCGGGACTATGGCATTGATCAGGACACTACTCTCTGCATGAATGTCTGCGTGACTCAGTTTCAGTGAGCTTCATGCTACCATGTCGGACACCGTCGACACCCATGAGCGCTTATGAGTTGATGTGCAGGTGTCAGAGTCCAAAAGTTGGAAGCCCATAGTTGCGGCTGCGCTCAAAAGTATGCGCTTTCGGGGTCTCCATCCTAACCAACATAGCTGCTAGGTGTAGAGGCTAGCGGCGTTCGGTAGCCGCAGCTACCACCCCTTACATGGGTCAATATTCTGTTTCTCAGGTTGCCTATTCGAATGGAAGCCTGTCAACCTCCATCGGTCGTTTCCTGCATTTTACTATTTCTAGCTCCTTTTTCTTGCATTTCATCCTATCGACATTATTGCAACCAATGTTTTGAACAGAAAGGCTTTGTTCTACAGAAGCGAGTCGAGGTTCTCGCCGTGGCATGTTATTCTGGTGTTGGTCCGGTGTTTGTGATGATGATGTGTGGAATGATGACGGTTGTAGCATGGTAGCGCTGACGTTGTAGCAAAACTCAAAACCATGGTGATGTTGACAACGACGACGACGATGGTGACGATGACGGATGTGTTGGGACTGGAAATAAAACATGATGATGGTGATGAGGATGATCGAGATGAGGATGATGATTATTGTTCTTATTATGATGGTGATGATGATGGTGATGATGGTAATGCTGATAATGATGGTGATGTTGATGATGATGATGGTGATGATGGCGATGATGATGATGATAATGATGATGATGGTGGTGATGGTGATGGTGGTGGTGATGGTGATGATAATGATGATGCTGATGATGATGATTATGATGAGGGATGGGTAAGAAAGACGATGCTGATGATGGCGACGATAGTTCCCATAGTGCCATAGTAATCACGCATGAGTACGACGATGGTGATAGTGGTGCCGTCAGTATCCATCAATGACGTTACTAGTATATTATTGAAAAGGAGCTCTGCCAGCAGTCTCAGCACAAGCAGAAGAAATGACACCAGTGCAATCGCAGTTAACACGAAACCGGGGTCGTCTCCAGACCCAGACATATTTCAGCTTTGCAACCGCACCCTATCATGGCTGCCAAAGATGGCTTTCACCGGTATATCTTCGATCCTCGAGCCTACAGCTTTTCACCACCGGTTTAGCTTTCGGGTAAAGCGGTTAGGATTTCCCTAAACCCTAAACACTGAACCCTGAACCCTGCA